CTGTCACGCCTAGATCCTAGTCTTGATGACTCTTTTTGCTAGATCGGTTGTACATAGTACGCTTTCGAAGGAATGTTTTAATCTTGAGCAAATTTATTAGTTAGTAAGATCTGATCTATCATTACTACCATAGCTACATCGATCTGGTCGAACCTCACTAGTAGGGCTTTAAATCAGAGATTATTGGTTGATAGATTTACTCATGGTCAAGACATGTTTTGGGAATGTTTACTATGCCTGCAGCGGCTGTTTTAGCCGATCGCCTATGCTTTCACGTCTATAGCATGTTTTCATGAACCTGTCAATATATAGATAATTTTATAAATTCTTCGTCTTTCGTTTGTTATTATTATTATTATAGCTGTATCGATTCGATCGAACCTTACTGTTGATGGTAACATATTAGATTCAGAGCGTTCGTAGATTCATTTGTACTAGACAGTCGATTTGTTCGCATGTTATATCATTTCTCATTAAACTTATTGGCTCAATGCTTTACACTGGTTATATTCATCTGATGATGTTTCTTTATATTACTTATATTTGGGTGTATTATACTTGTTCTGTCTGGATTAATCAATCATAATAAAATCACTATGACCCCATAAGTATCGGTTATTTTGAATTCATACCATCATCATTGATATTAGCCGATAATCTTCAATTCAGCGATCCTCGCTTTACTGATATGTTGGATATCGACTATTTAGTCGATAGCCCCATTGAATCGGCTATTTGGCCACATATTGGAATTGTCTAGTGTAACACCGACATGTTCCACCTTAAACTACTGATTATTCTCTCCTTGTCAATTGCACGGTCAAATAGATTGGCACGCCTTTGGTTCCGAAACCAACCGTTCTTGTGTTGAAGCTAAGCAGATCTTTGGGTTCACTCCGTTCAGATCGTCCGGCTTGCTGTGTGTTGATCACATCGCCACATTTTTGTGTCAACATGTTTTTAGGTTTTCGACTTAAAAGCTGCTTTTGGTTTTTGGCTTTTGGCTGTTGATTTTTTGTTATTGTCTTTTGTAATAATATTTTAGCTTCTTAGCAAAACAAAAACTGGAAAAGCTTCCTGAACATGTTTTTTTTAGCTTTTAATTTGTTTTTAGCTTTTGGCTTCTATACCTAGGATTTGGATTTTTACTTAGGATATGTCGCAACAATTTGTCAATTTATACAATATAAGATGTAATTCCTTTTACAAATGGTATATGTTCATATATAATAATTTGAAAATATGCTAGGAAATAGTATCAAGTCTTCAATAATCCCAAACTTTGCTCTTGACTGAGCCATGGATAATAACTTGTCCTTAAATAAATAATCTAATAAGAAAAAGAGCTAGTTGTAGAGTATATATTCACTAAAGTTGGAAAAGGGTGAAACAAAACATCTGAGGACTGGACGTCGGCCTCACATTTCTGCCAACAACACCTCCCTGGCTCCCTTCCTACTTTTAGCATAGCCAACCAAGCGTGTCAGCACAAACTAATAAACACACGAAATTAGTAGTGTCCTTCCTCCATCCTAAAATATATATTGTTTTCGTTTTCCGAGAAACAACTTTGATAAAATATTAATATTAATAACTTGTCTACATCCATTCTTAAAAAAATAATCTAGTAAGAAAAGAGCTAGTTGTAGAGTATATATTCACTAAAGTTGGAAAAGGTGAAACAAAACACAGAGGATGATTCTAGACGAGGAAAAGAGGATCGACGGAGAAGAGCGGCCGGCATGCATGCCATTAAAGGAAAGGAGGGCAGTAGGCCACATCTGAGGACTGGACTGTCTATCTCACATTTCTGTCAACACCTAATTGGCAGCTCTCCCTGGCTCCCTTCTTACTTTTAGCATAGCCAACCAAGCGTGTCCAGCGAGCACAAACTAGTAAACACACGAAACTAGTAGTGTAATGTGCATCTTTTGACGAGCGATGGCTGCGTACACGTACAGGTACAGCAGATGAGATGACACAGCGCAACACGAAGCTAGGCAGGCAGGGCTAACTGCATCTGCATCTGCATGCATCTGTTCGGCAGAACTTATTGATGTTGTGGCTGATTTGTATGACTAATTTATTATAAAAGAAATACGTCTATTCGCTTGCTCGTAAACGATCGTAAATTTTCAGTCAGAAACAATATTTTTCTCTCACACCAAACAAAGCAGCGATAAATAATCCACGATGCGATACGACGAACAGGCTGTCGGTCTGTCGAACAGGCTGTCGGTCTCCCGGCATCTCGTATCCGAATCAGGCGAACGGAGCCTGGCTCCCAGCATCTCGTATCCGAATCGGGTGGCGTGCAACACGCGGCGAGGCGAGAAATCACCCGTGCAGATGCAATCGGATGAGCGAATCAGAGCGGGCGCGGCTGCCGGTGCCGGTGCCGGCCGGTGATCTCAGGCAGCGCAGTCGAGTCGCATCATTAGCGGAGAAAATCACTTGCGGTGGCCGCCTAGAGGTAGACTGGTAATAGTGGTGTTGACGCAACAGCAACACACCGGTCGGGGCGGGTCGCCGAGCCGGCACAGAGAATCTCTGCTTCGTCTGGGATCCAGCCCCACCGCGGGTAACACAAATATCTGTATCTCCCTCGTGCCACGCGTCGACGCGTCGTGGGGGCCGGTCGCCCGGTCCTCGCCGGGGGGCCCGCACAGGAGGCCACGCAGCGCGGAGCCACAATTCGTGGCCGTGCCAGCGGGGCGGCGGCATGGCCATGTCAGCCCGCTGCCTGCTTTCTCTCCCGCGTTCACACACACGTGACCGGGAAATGATGCGCCTACCCTCCGATGAGTGAGTTTACTTAGTATATATTAACTAAAATCTGGTGATTATAATTTCACAGAGGTTCGCAAGTAAAAAATGGAGCCGGGTGAAAATTGCAGGGTTTCGTTCGTATATCCTATGAATATTCTTGCACAATATATGTATTCTTGTGGCTCAGAGCCTCACTGGTGACACTATTTGAATATTCTTGCCGCCATTAGATAATGTTATCATCTCCTTCCGATAAGTTGGCACAGGGATAGCCGGACAGGGCAGGTTGGATAAACAAGCATATCAACGCTTCCGTGGATAGGTTTTACAATTGCTGAATGCCAACCCATATCGCGGGTTTTTTCAGTCATTTTATGTGCCTTGCATGTTGGAATTCTCGGTGCCGTACGATTGTATTTTCCTTGAAAATAAAACACTAAGAGACGGAAACAATATATATGATAGTAGAATATCAGAGTCGTGCATGACTGAACTATATGTCTACGAATGAATGGGAAAAGTTTAAAAATATATCAGAGTTCACACCTATAAGACTAGTCTCAATAAGAATTTCATAAAAGTTTCATATAAATTGAATAAGCTGACATATCATAATATAATTAAGAGAGATGATAAAAGTTCTATGGAAAGAAATAAGTTTCATCATCATAATAAAACTTATGTACACTATTTTTAATACATAAGAGTCTTAAAACTAAAACATAAAACTCTCCTAATACTGACCTAAAAAAAATATCCTCAGCCTAGTCAATTTTCACCTTGACTTCGGATTTTAGGCGTTTCTCAGCATGGACAATGATGCTACAAGTCTTGTGTAAGTGCCTTTATTTAAAAGACAAAAATAAGAAATAAAAATCCACGGGAACCATGTTCTGTATTAAGTCATCGGTAATTCTATCCTCACCATCTAGTCATGCAGGTTGAGCATAAGCAACAAAAAAAAAAAGGTATACTCAATAGTCAAAAAATCTCCAAAAAAATAAATAAATTTGCAACAAATATGAAACATAAGAACCATTCTTGCAAGAAAAAAAATTAATATTTCTAACATGGCCTAGTGAAAGGTTCAAAAAGAATATTTTTATAGTAAATCTATTTTGAAATAAAAATGTTGATAGAACTTCTATAATCCTAGTTAAATTTAAAATTAAAGTTAATAAGCGAGATGTCTACTTTTTTCCAAGGACCAAGAGCCTTCATTTTCCGTCCTGCAATGGCTAAACGTCCTACAACAAAAGGCACATTTCAGAACGGGACTGCCTAGCTTAACCCCTCGCATGCTAAGGTAATGAGACAGCTCTTCTCGGGCCTACATGGAGAGCGGTCGAGGCGGTTGAGGCGTCGCATAAGCCAGCGCGTATGATCGCCGGTGATGGCTATGTAGCATGATTAACGAATAATAGGCTTTGATGTCCTTCTGCTAGGGAGGGCAGAGCTGATTGTATTATATTATTCTCTCTTAGTGTGCCATTTGTGGCGTGTCGTTGTAACCTCACTATTTCTCAATTTTAATATAAAGATGTGCAAATCTTTTACGTATTCGGAGAGAGAAAAAAAGAACGGGACTGCCCTGCCCCAGCAGGACGGACCTTTATCCACGTCGTCACCGAAAAGCCGAGGAATGGATATGCCTGAGGGCCTATCCGCCATTAACCAACCACACGAGGGAGAGGCCGAGAGAGAGAGAAGCCGCGTGCGCCCCGTCCGTCCAGTTCTTGCCCCAATCCCCAGCCCAAGGAATGTTGCTGTGCAAGCGACGGGCACCGCGCTTCCTGACTCGCCCGGCCTTCCCCTGCCCCCACGGCTCTTCCTCCCACCTCATCTTCTTCCCCCTCCTTTAAAAGCTCCGTCCAAGCTTTCACCTCACTGCAGACCACAATTCACAGGCCCTCCGATCCGATCCTCTTCCTTCCTTGGTTCACCTTTTCTTTCTCTCTCCTGGCCCTCTAGCTATCTCCTAGCTGTCCAAGAACTTGCTGTTTGATCGTCCTGTGCCTGGTTCTTGCGCTTGCGTGAGAGTTTGGAAGCGTCTTCCTTTCGCTTCTGTTTGATCCGGTCCTGTCCGTCCAATCCAATCCAAGCTCCTTGGCTTCATCCCAAAGGGACGAGGCCGTACCATCGGCCTAACAAACCAATCATCATCCTTATCTGTTTCTCAGTAGCACCTGAACTCTCGATCAGTCGCGTCGCGCACCCAAGAGTACAAGAGAATGCGGCAGATCTCGTCGCTGCTGCAGGGCCTGGCCCGGTCGCTCTCGGTGGGGAGGGACAGGAAAGGGGACGGCGGCGCAGGCGACGGCGACGGCAAGACCGCCATGCCGGCGGTGCTGCGGACGTCCGGCACCCTGTGGGGCGTGGGCTCGGACACGTTCGCCGCCGTCTGCTCGCGGCGCGGTGAGAAGGGCATCAACCAGGATTGCTCCATCGTCTGGGAGGTCAGTTACACCTCTCCCTCTCTTTCTTTCTCTCTGCAACTCGGCTCTTGCTGTATGCTCTGCTTCTTGCTTCCTTTAATTTCGTTCATCTTTTTTCTATTGGAATTTTCGGTGGCATCATAAAGTTGTCACTGCACGTGATATTTCCGTGGAATTTTACAGAATCTGGAAAATTCTCGTCGGGCTCATGCGTTCTACTAAGAAACCATGAACAAACAGCTTCAGTATGCTGAACAAACAGTGAACCTTGACTTTTCTTTCCGTTGCTCACCTAATCAGTAGTTTATATTTTTATTTTTCAGCATCAGATTGGTGTTTCAGTTCGTTTTGTGTTTCTGAGAAATATGAAAAAAAAATTAACCAATAGTAAGCACCTTTTTGTTTCAGAAAGCGTGTTCCAGTGATAATAAGGCCAATTAGGGAGGCATAGGTATTGGAGCACGAGTCTGGTGTTTCCTCTTGGCTTTCTAGGGCTCTCTCTTTCTCACAATAGAGAGGGTCATACGTGTCCTGATTTGCTGCTCTAGGAGGAAGATGTTTTTAATTGTTACTGCTAATGATATGACATCTTTTTCAGCTCTTGGTATCTGAACCCAAGATAGCAGCAGCTTTGTAGTTACAGTTAACCTCACTGCCTAAGATGGAAAGTTAGCCACATCATCACATAGAAGATTACTCCCCAGTCCCCACAGCACATTCTTGAGAGTTCTTCATGGACGCCATACTTGCTGTCTTTTATTTTTATTTTATTTTCTGGATATTGTAAAAAAAAATTCGTGTTGTCTAACTAATCTGGCTTGTTAATTCTGCAAACCAAACCATCCAATAGAATGAGGACAAGAATGACATACTGCTAGGTGTAGTACCTCAAATGCATGGATGAAGGTTGGTTCAGTTGGTTGTGTGTGATGTCACAGTGGAATCATAAATTGTCGCTTATCATGCAATGATTGTGCAGCATAAGATTAACAATCCCCTTGAAGCTCAACAACACACATATATAATACCAGACAGGCAGAACACACATTACTTACCCACCATAAAGAATCATCACGCCAGCTGCTGTCAAACAAACCCCATGTCCATGTGTGAAGAGAAAGAACTCGCAGCGTTTTGGCTTCAACTTTTACCCACTCAATTCGGCACAGTTAAAGAATGTTTTGGAACCTGAGAAAACCTTAAGAATTTCATTTCACACGGCACCATTCTTTCATAGTTTCATTCATGAAAAAAAAAAATACTTCTACTACTACTCTGTACAGAATTCCTGCTTATGTTGTGAAGAAAACTTGTTGACATGGCTTTTCTGTCATGTCTTCAGGGTTTCGGGTGCCAGGAGGACACCATCTTGTGCGGCATCTTCGACGGGCACGGCCCGTGGGGCCACTACGTCGCCAAGGCCGTGCGCGACTCGCTGCCGCCGTCGCTGCTGTGCCACTGGCAGGAGGCGCTCGCGCTGGCGTCGCTCATCGACGGCGAGAAGAGGCTCGGCGACTGCCAGTTTGACCTCTGGAAGCAGTCCTACGTGGCCGCGTGCGCCGCCGTCGACGACGAGCTCCGGCGCAGCCGCCGCTTCGACGCCGTCCAGAGCGGCTGCACCGCGCTGTCCATCGTCAAGCAGGGGGACCTCATGGTCGTCGCCAACGTCGGCGACTCCCGGGCCGTCCTGGGCACCACGTCCGACGACGGCGCCGTCGCGGCCGTCCAGCTCACCGTCGACTTCAAGCCCAACCTGCCACGTAAGTCGCTGCTGTCCGCGCGCCCTGAGCCCCTGACCGGCCATGCATTCTTGGAACGGCTGCCGTTGCTGACGTTGTGTCCTGGAACACGATGTGTGCAGAGGAGAAGGAGCGCATCCGGCGGTGCAACGGCCAAGTGTACTGCCTCGCCGACGAGCCCGGCGTGCACCGCGTCTGGCAGCCCAACCGGGAGTCGCCGGGGCTCGCCATGTCGCGCGCGTTCGGCGACTACTGCGTCAAGGACTACGGCGTCATCTCGGTGCCAGAGGTGACGCAGAGGAGGATCAGCAGCAATGACCAGTTCGTCATCCTCGCCACCGACGGGGTACCTTTCGTGGCTTCTTCTTTAGTTTTTTGTTTTCTTCGCAAACACACACACACACTCGCCTTTTCATTTCATCAGTGGTCCGTGCCTGATGACTGACGATGACAAGCGGGAAACTTTTTCCGGCAGGTGTGGGACGTGCTCTCCAACGACGAGGCCGTGCAGATCGTGGCGGGGACGCCGGGCCGGGAGAAGGCGGCCAAGCGGCTGGTGGAGTGCGCCGTCCGCGCGTGGAGGCGCAAGCGGCGCGGGATCGCCGTCGACGACTGCTCGGCGATCTGCCTCTTCTTCCACCCGCCGCGGTCGTAGACACGAAACCTGAACGTGCCTCAGTCCACGTCAAGCAGCAGAGACAACAAAATGCACATCTCAAGACTACGATTATTGTGCCCGTCGCATTCGTAGACGACTCGTAGTAGAGACGAGAGAGTGCATTGCCGCCGTCCAGCATTCAGAACGTGCAGTTTGTCGCATGATCGTGACACTCCACGATGAGAACTGCAGCTGGTGGATCACCAAAAAAAAAAAAAACTCCGGCTTTCACACCTTGACAGTCAAAATGTACGAGAACGAACACCAGCCATCAGAAAAAAAAAGGAAAAAAGGTGCATTTTGTCCTCATTTTTGGGGTGTCTGGCTCTGAATTTCTGTCGTGGTAGAAAACAGTCGCAATTATAGATGCGCATCAATCACAATTTGGTCACAAATCACATGTTTTGGCGCCACCTGCCGAACAAACCAGAATCCTAGATCTTCTGCAACGGAGCACCATGCATTATTTCGAACATCCTGGAACACACTACTCCTAATTCACTAACTGTTATGACATGAGAGCTCAACCTGTGGTGGATATGAGAGTCGTCATCAAATCAGCCACCGTAGCGACTTTTTAGCGACTCGGGAGGCTCCTCTTCCATGATTCCAGCTCCGGTAGTGGCCAAGTATTCCCTTATTGTAGTTTTCCGGTCACCAAGATAGGTGTGGTCTAAGAAGAAGCTGTATGCTGGTTCTCCAAGATTTTTCGCAGCAAGAACACTGAAAAAGCAATTAGAATCAATAAGATCATATTGCTAAAAAAATATTGATAACATCATGCTTGTACACACTTAGTTGTTATGTAGAGAAAATATGTTGCTTTGGATAAATGCAATGATTTCCTATTGCTTCAGACATGCATCTTGCTTTCAGTTGTCAGAAAGCATTGATATCATTTTTCCATGAGAGATGCATATTGCTTTGAGAACAGATAATATATACTGTACCCTAAATTATTGGAGCGTGCACATGTAACTACACAGTAGGCTTATTCCAATTTGATCCCAAGTTAGACCCCTCTAATGTTAATTACTAATTTATCTACGAGATGAAAGAAGCAACCCCACATATTGTTTAACGTTATATATCTTTGAACATCAAATACTCACCAATGTCTGAGGTATAAGCGACATGGTAAAATGTCATCTCTCCATATTTTGTCAATGTTGTACCGTCCATAGCGCTGATAATATATTTCCTTGCTTCCTGCACAAGTAACCACTCAAAATTTCAACACGTAATTGACTACGAAATCAAATATGATTTGGTTTTATCTCAAGCAATTCTCTAGAAGTTAGCAACCTATGTCTACATTGCCTTAAAAGATCGACTTGCATCTACAGAAACATGTTTTGATTTGCCAGAAAAAAAATGGTAGAGAAATGTTCAGCATAAAGCCTTGTTAGTCATCATAAACTTATTTGAGCGGGATTCAAACATGTCTAGCTTAACTACAATCTAGTGTTAAAGGGGCCTGGATGAACTCAAGAACAGATTACCATTTCCTTTGAAGTATAAACAACTATCTCCTACCAAATCTGATGATCAACAATTGGAGTGATAGATTGACAGCACACAGATATGGATACAGAACAGTTTGAAAATAGTTGGAATGAAGTGAAGACATAAAATTAAACCTTGGCATCTCCCTTGGAAATATTCTTCATCGCTGTAGCGCGCGCAGACAACCTAACCACCAAATTCCACCAAGACGAAGAAAAATAACTCTGATTGCAGAAAGGAAGCAGCAGCAAGAGCAAAAGCAAAACTACAATTATGATTTCAAATGCAGAGTAGGAGTACTTACTGCTCGATTTGTAAAAGGTACCCCATCCAATCCTTCAGGGACAACCTGAAACACATTAAAACACAAACAAAAGTGGCAGCCAACATTTGTCAAAAACTAGTACAAATTATGGGTAGAGAATTTATTCACTTTACAAACTAAGCTAGATCGGCAAGCATGAAATGAATTAGTTGGTCACCCACCGCAAGAAATCTAAACTCATGTTCCCTCTCAATAAATGCTGGCACCTGCAATTATCATGAACTTTCAGTCCTCACCAAAAAGGAATTCAGGAACAGTCCATTAGTTTGCCCATGGCTGATTATTATGATATATCACTGAGAAAACCACATGACCTCTTCCTCCTTGATCTCGAAAACAGTGACTACTATCAGTTCACTGTCGCATGGCTCCACGCTCAAGCTTGAGAATTCCTACAAGTCACCCAATACTGGAATGAGAAAGGAGAACATTATGAAACCACAAGAAACCAGTAATGTGACTTTCTCAGGGAAGTACATACGGCGCTCTACATTGGCAAACATAGTCCAATGTCAAACCATTGGATCTCAACAAGATATTAAAGTTTATTATTCTCCAGGATCAGGATAACAGACAGCAAAAGCAGTGATGCTGATGCTCATGTTACAGAGAAGCTCCTTAATGAGCACTAAAATCCATGCCCTCGTGCATGAACCAAGACATACATATTTGTTCAATGCAGCTAGTTATTTGAAATCCCAACTTTTTAGCTGTCCAGTGTTGTGGAACTAGTATTGCAATTTTAATTATGTCGAGAAAACACAGGCTAAAAACAAATAAACTGGAGGATGGTAATTTGCAGTATCATCCAAGTACCCCTAGTACTAAGTGCATATTTGCCTTTATTGTCTGCACATTCAGGTGTACACAACAGGTGTGCTATTACATTGTATTGCTCTGCTAAAATAGATTATCTGAAACCCTCTACAAAAACTAACACTTGGAAGAGTTAGTGAATCAGTGAAATCACACAGTCATGCAAAATGTTGCCATCAGAAATGCAAAATTAGTCGAGTACACATCCCGAGTCATCCATGCCCTGATCAAAATCCTATCCACCTTGTAGAATCACAGACAGACGGAGAAACCTGCTGCTTAATTAAACGATGAACCTTGTAGAATCACAGACAGACGGAGAAACCTGCTGCTTAATTAAACGAGTAGAGAAATACTAGGGATGGGGACCTTGGTGGCCTCGATGGCGATGCCGCGCTCGAAGAAGATGGGGGCAGCGTGGGCGAAGACTCGGCGGAACCCCCGCAGCGCGGCGACCCGGAAGCCCTCCAGCTCCGGGAACGTGCTCCTCGCGCTCCGCTCTGCCACCAACCAGGAGGCTAGAAAGCGTCAGGCCTAGCAGGTTCAGGGCTCGAGGAATCCACTACCCGTGACAACGATCTGCGTCCCGCTCACCGGAGAGGAGGGATCCGAAGCCGACGACGGAGAAGCGGCCGCCGGGGGCGGCGACGGCGGCAAAGTCCGCGGGACAGGTGAGCTCGGGGAAGGAACCGCCGGCTGCGGGGGCGACCGTCGCAGTGGGAGTGGGGCGGCTCAATCGGGTGGGCGGCGGCGAGGGCCCTGGCTCCGGTGGTCGGCGGAGGCGGACACGGGCGGCGGTGACGGGGGCTGGTGGGAAAGTGGTGCGTTCGGGGGCGTTGGGTCTTGATCGGACGGCTGAGGGTGGCTCCGGGCGAGGAGGCGCGTGTGGGGAGGCGATGGCGCGCATTGTTGGACCAGTGACAGTGAGGCAGCAGCAGTCACCAGTCAAGCATACGTATGTGACTCGAGCGGTCGAGCCGTCCCTTCAACTAAAGCCAACGGTTTTTCTGTAGAAACACGTCGAGTCACGGAGTGAGGTGGTGTTTAAATATAGGGAGTAAAATTTATGGATGTTATATTAGGTGTGAGGATGTTGTATGAGGTGTTCAGATACTAATAAAAAATAAATTACAGAATCCTTCAGAAATCCGTGAGACGAATCAATTAAGCCTAATTAATTCGTCATTAGCATATGTTAATGTAGCTATACTGTACCACCACATTGTCAAATCATGGACTAGTTAGACTTAAAAGATTCGTCTCGTAAAGTAATCGTAATCTATGTAATTAATTATTTTTTTAGTCTATATTTAATACTTTATACATGCGTCTAAACATCTGATATTATAGTGAGTAAACTTTAGGGGAGGAAGAGTGTTTGTTTGAAGCATAGGTTGGTAGTCCATCGTCCTTTGTTTATAATATGGAATGGATTGATTTATTAACCTTATTTCTTACATTAGTATTAGTATAAGGAATAAAATTATTTCATCAAATTTAAGAAATCGACTCATGCTCACAAAAAAAAATAGACTCATGATGTGTCGGTGCGAAATGTGGTCGATAAATAAATATTTATAATTTTATCGTGTGTTGTGATCGGATGTGGCCTAACACTCAATGACACAGGATTTATACTAGTTCAGGCAACATGCCCTACGTCCAGTTTCAGTCGGTCGGTAACTTTATTCCTGAGCCCAAGTGCTCGAAGTTTGCTGTGGGGTTACAAACGAGTAAGGAATGAGAATGGGGGTGTTAGAGGCCCGGTCGGACTCTGAACCGAATAGAAGAGAGTGACGGGTGCTTTAACGTGCGCTAAGTATTGGAGCGTATGCTCTGTGTAGCTGTCGAGTTCTACAGTTGTTGAGCTATTTGAGTCCTCGAGTTTTCTAGCGTCCTCCTGTTGGGAGAGAGCGCATCCCCTTTTATAGGTGAAGGGGCTGGCCTTACAAGTCAGAGAGAAAGGAAGAGAGTGCGTACATGTGCTACCTAGTCTTGTTGCCCACACTGTCGGATACGAGATGGCTGCCAGCACCCACAATACTATTTATGCCTAGACGCGTCTGACAGGCTCTATCGTGTTCGCCTGGTACGACAAACGACAGCGCCCACAACACTGTTTATGCCCTGATACGTCTGGAAGGCGGTAGAGTGTCCGTCTGTCATGGCCTGGTGGCACCGTCCTATAGGTGCGCTGGGTTTGATAAGGTACGATCCTCGGTATTATGGTTGACTTGAGCGCCCTATCTTATCTGCTCCGCCTACGTCCTAGGCCCACACCGAGTGGGCGTCCCCGGTCCATTGCTCCTAGTTGGCCCCGGCCGTGTCGGTCGGAAAAGAGCAGCGAGTAGAGGTCCGGCGTATCCTTGGTCGGAGAAAGGGGGTCAGGCGAGGCGGAGTCCATGACCCAGACATCAGCCCTTTCTACCCCTCACTCTAAAGGTGTCTAGAGTGGTTGTCGAACCCATCGGTGGGCCAACCTTCGAACTCTTGGGCCTAGACGGGCCGTAGGAGCGTTTTTAGCTCCGTATCTCTCTTTCCTGTGACGGGACATGGCCCGTTCGGGGAGGCCCTAGTCGGAGGTGCCGGTCAGGGACCGGATCGTGGTCTTGGCCTGTTATTGTGTATCTGGGCTGGCCCAGGCGTGTGCTGTCGTTGCGCTGCCTGCTGGCCGAGTTTTGTTGGGAAGCAAGTCCATTGGGGACCCCTGGTTTATGAACCCGACAGGAGCCCCCGAGCCCCTTTGGGACTTCTGTAAAGTCGTGAAGGGGCTATTATTAGAACTTCGGTGTTTTCCCCATTGGTTTGTTGTACCGCGTAGGGTAACCGAATAGGATTTAGGCACCCAGCCTCCATGTGGAGGACTGGCAAAGGTCGTGGAGGCACGCAAGTGGATACGGGCGCCTAGCATCCGAGGAGGAGACTCGTTGGTAATCCGTTTTCCACCAAGTGCATGCGAGCACACCTGGTGGGTGTAGCCCCCAAGCCTGCGGCCGACTGGGGAGTCGGTCGGAGGCTAAATACCTTGGTACTCTTTTTGGGGGCTGCGGACTCTTGTGTCTCTTTCGGTCGGGGTGTTCGCCCATGTCCGTTCCGACTGCAACCTGTGCGATCGGCTGGACTCCCGAGTCGGGGTCGGGTGGCCCAAGCCCCCGAGCCCCGTCGAGCTCGGTAGGGGTAAGTCGAGTTTCGTGCGTCACCCCATCCATGGTTTCCGCAACCGAAGGGGTTGAGCTAACGTCGCTTACCTAGATGGCTCGAGTGACGTGCTCGGTGAGCTCACTAACGGCATGTCCGAGTGGAATGCGGGTCCGTCGTTCATAACGGGGTCGACATAGCCCTCATGTGGCATTCCACTGCTCCTTAACCCACCTCCCGGTAGATGCCCGAGCCATTCTGGAGACCGATTCAGGTGGCCCGCTGGCTTTTCCTCGATGGAGATTCTGTGGGCATGGCTCAAGGTCAGGATCAAACGAGAAGGTCGAGATGACCCTATCTGCTTTTGAGCGGATCAGGCGAAGGCCACTGGGGCTCATCTGCGTTTTCTCCCCTGGCTCTGTTTGACGCGAGACAGCCTCGAGCCCTTCGCGGGCTAGCCTTAGAACCCCGGTCGGTCGTCGCTCATATCGAATGAGACGACTACCATTTCGTGACGCGATGCGAAGCGTTGTGATGCAACAATTGCATATGCAATGCTTGGATGTATGGGATGAATGTATGGATGAATGCATGCATGAGAATGGATGAATGAATGCTCATGCACTGGGAAAGTAGAATGGGGGTTGGTAAAGTTACCTTGATGGCTCGAGTGACGGGTCTGGGGAGCTCTTATCAGATATGTCCGAGTGGGATCTGTGTCCGTCGTTCATGACGGGGTCGGCATAACCCGCATGGGGCATCCCACTGCTCCTTACCTATCTCTCGGCAGCCGCCCGAGCCGTTCGATCGACTCGGGTGACCCGTTGGCCTCTCCTCGATGGAGATTCCATTGGTAGGCCCCTCCAAACCCTGCCTGAGAAGGTGGAGGGTTGTTTGCGTGTGGTTGCGCCTTGTTTCCTATGCCTAGGTTACAGTAGTGGTGGGCCCCACCCAGGCAACGTTTCATTGGGCAGGGCGCATCCTGTTAGCCAGGGCCACGTCCCGTCTCACACCTTTCTGCATTAAATAGGGCGAAGGGAGAGGGTTTTCCTCCTATTCTTTCGCCTTTCTTCAACCGTTGCCGTTTCTCCTTCCTTCTTTTTGCCAAGCCTGATCGTGTGCCGCGACGGTTTCTAGGAGAGAGGAGGGCAGAGCGAGGGAGAGGAAAAACTCACAGATTCGTTCGTAAATCCGAGGTGCGATGTCGAACTGGAGGCCTTCCAACATGGATGAGGAGGTGCTGGTCGCCTTCGCCAAGAAGGGGCTGCTCCCGTCGAAGGAGGTGGCGTATTGGAGGGCTCCTACGCAGAGGGAAGTTGTTCCGCAACCCTGGGTCGATGAGGTTGTCTCCTTCCTTGCCTTCTGTTGGCACAAAAATGTGTCAACATACAGCAAGCCGAAAGGGTCTGCTCGATGGAGCTGGAGATCTGCCTAGCTTCAACGCAGGGATAACCGATCCTGTGTATTCCTTCTAAGGCGTGCCAGCCAATTTGACCCTTCAATTGACAAGGAGAGAAAGTTTATCAGTAATTTAAGGTGGAACGTGCCGAACTATGCCCAGACAGTTCCAAGTGTGCCGCTTCGGGAGTAGCCATACGGAAAGAACGATTAAATAGCCGATACGCATAGAAATCGGCTGTTACGGACTGTGAAGCTTGTGGGTAGCGATGGATTTTATGTTGACAGGTACAATACACGTATATATAAATGAGATCATCAGCTAGGTGGATATTACCAGTACGAATCATTGAGCTGATGAATCTAACGAGAAAGGATATAACACGCAAACAAATCGACTATCTAATACAAATAGATCTACAAACGCTCTGAATCTAATCTGTTACCATCAACAGTGAGGTTCAACCGGATTGATGGCAGCTATGATGATAATAACAAACTAAAACTGAAGAATCCGTAAAACCGTCTACACTTCGACAGGCTTTTCGAAAGACATGTTATATGTGAAGGCTCGGATGAATCCGCTAAAATAGTCGATTCAGGTGAAGAGAACTACAGCGTGTGAACAATCGACTATTTCACATGAACAAACCTATGGACTCCTCAGACTCAACCTGCTATCTCTAACAGTGAGGTTCGACCGGATCAATGCAGCTGTGAATAAGACAATGAATCAAACCTTTAAAGTACACAGATCTATTCACGCTTAACAAAATCATGGACACACACTGTAGACGTTAACGCATAGGCGATCGACTATTTAGCCGATGCAGGCATAGCAAACAGCTAAGGTCATGCCTAATCAGGAACAAATCTACTAACTAACATCCTTCAATCTACAGTGCCATCAATGGGGATTGACCGAATCATTACAGCCATAATGGTGAACTATAAACTAGATTTAACTAGCCAGCAAACCTCTTCAAGATTATTCATGCCTTAACCGCGTACTATGCGTGATCAAGATCGAAGTAAAAACAGCCGATAAAAAATAAACCGTCGCTTATGGTAAACAATATTGTGTTGTAACAAAATGAACGACTGACCTAAAGGATATGAGGTCGATCTAAATCGATCTTGACCGAGCAGATTGATGTTGCTGCAAACTAATGATAATGAAAAAAACATCAGCAAGAATGGTAACTTAATGAATCTACCAAAGATTGCCACTCTTAGGTAGAGCCGATAACTTGACCTTAATCTAATTCGAGCGGTGGAGGTCGATCGGATCGATGCAGTCGTGCTTGAACTAGATAAGAGTCGATAACTAGCTTATACCAGAGTCGCAGTGGAGGTCGACTGGATTGATGC